TCGTCTGACGGCACCTGTACCTTCTACTCGGAGGGTATCACCTCCGGCGCCGGCTCCGGCCGCGACGTCCAGTCGTTCGTGTGGAGTTTCCGACAGCCGGACGGTAAGCCGCCACAGTCGTACGCGCCGTGGGACGGCGGGTTCCTGAACGTGTTGCCCGCCACCACAGGTCTGCAGGCGGCCGGCGCCTGCTTCAACGACGGCGCCATCCTCTACCCGAACATGGCGCCCGAAAAGCTGGCCAACCTCAGAACGTTCTTCGCCGACCATCCCGCCAGCAGCGACCTTGTGCTGGTCGGCATGGAGGACATGGTCAGAGAGGGCGTCTTCGTCACCAGCGATGGCAGAGAGGTGACTGACCTCGCCTGGGCCGCCGGAGAGCCCAATGGCGGAGGCGGGGAGAACTGCACTGTCATCACGCAGGCTGGCCTTCTGCACGATGCCCCCTGCACCACGGCCCAATACAGCCCTCTTTGTCAGTATGTTGGCGAAAACCTGGCGGTGGGAAGACACGCCTGGATGAACACACCCTCTACCCCGCAGTCTCCTGCCAACGGCGCTGATGGCGACGTGGAGACCTTCGTCGACAACAAACATGACCTGGCGGTGCGTCCGTTGACCTGGACGGTGGACCTTGGCGCTCCTGTTCAGGTCACCAGCGTGCTGTACGCCTCCCGCACCGATTGCTGCCCCATGCGAAACCGGTTTTTAGAAATTCGCGTTGGTAGTCATCCGACCTTGTTTGACGAACAGAACTCAGTACGCTGTGTGTCGCTGCATAAGCACTTCATGCTCCAGGCTTATGCTCGCATGTTCCGCTGCGAAACGCCCGTAACGGGGCGCTATGTTCGAGTAGCTCGACACAGGAGACGCATTTTCCAGTTTGGCGAGCTGGCCGTCTTCGGAAATCGCCTGACGACAATTGGCGTTTAACTAGTCATGGATTCATAGAGTCTCTTACTAGAAGATTCATAGAATCTATGACTAGCCTTGGCTTTGACCCTTCGTTCTAACTACGTTCGAATGATGGTTGATACTTGATAATCAATCTGCAAACCAAATTTCTTAAGAATTTCCCATTCCAACAGGGTGTGACCTACATCGTTTAGACATTCATATGTGTGCGTTATAGACGTTATAAACGTTATGCGTTATAGACGTTATAGACGTTATCTGTGTTATGAAAATAGTCTTTGAGGGACGGCTAATATGCTGGAAAAAGGATGTGACTCCTTACTTCTTTTACCTGTAGTCGAGAAATAATACCTATACGTAAACAGACATGTAAAAAACAGACGTGTTGCTTTAAAATAAACAACAGTAAAACAAGCAATAACTAAAGAGACAGACGTTTCTTGTATCCTTGTAATTTCACTGTCCCTTTTTCCCGGCCATTTTGCATCTGTAATCGCATTCAATGTAAGTGTTTACAGCTATCGGTAAATACCGAAGCTTTTTTTCTCAAATACACGCTCACTGGCGGATCCAGGGGGGGGCCACGGGGGCCATGGCCCCCCCCAAAGGCCTAAAGTGGCCTGTTTGGCCCCCCCCAAAACGTCAGAAAATTTCTAAGAAAATATACCTTGATGGAGGTTTTTAGCCACTTGGTGAAGTAAAGTTTCCACAGCATAATATGGAAGCAATATGGTAGCAGTGAGGGTCAGTCAAAAGTTGCGCGAGCGGAGTCGACCTTCAAAAAGACTGTTGTTGGCACGTGTTTATGGCGCGGCAGCTGGTAGTTGGCGGTGTTTCGCGTGGTGTGGCATCACTGGCGGATCCGGGGGGGGGGGGGGGGGTAGCACGGGAGCCTGAGGTGCCCCTGACAGGCCCGTGGTGCCCTTGCTAGGCCTGTGGTGCCCCTGGACCCTGGCAGGCCTGTGGAGCCTCTGGCGGGCCTAGGGTGCCCCTGCTAGGCTGCTGATGCCCCTGGGACCTGACAGGACTGTGGTGCCCCTGACAAGCCTTAAGTGCCCCCAACAGGCCCGTGATGCCCCCGACAGGCCCAAGGTGCCCCTGCGGCCTGCGTGATGCCGTGATGCCTGCGAGGCCGGTGGTGCCCCTGCGAGGCCGGTGGTGCCACTGCGAGGCCGGTGGGGCCCCTGACAAGCCCATGGTGCCCCTGCGAGGCCGGTGGTGCCCCTGCTAGACCGGTGGTACCCCTGGCAGGCCTGTGGTGCCCCTGCTAGGCCGCTGGTGCCCCTGGGCCCTGACAGGACTGTGATGCCCCTGACAGGCCCAAGGTGCCCCTGTAAGGCCGGTGGTGCCCCTGTAAGGCCTGTGGTATCCCTACTAGGTCTCTGGTGCCCCTTTGACAGGCCCATGGTGCCCCTGCGAGGCCGGCGGCGCCCCTGGCAGGTCTCTGGTGTCCCTGACAGACCTGGGGTGCCCCTGACAAGCCTGTGGGGCCCCTCACAGGCCCGTGGTGCCCTTGCTACTTGCTAGGCCTGTGGTGCCCCTGGCGGGCTGGTGGTGCCCCTGCTAGGCCGGTGGTGCCCCTGACACGCCTGTGGTGCCTCCGGGCACCAAGGGGGGTCATGACCCATGTGGCCCCCCTTGGATCTGCCACTGATACATAATATATTGATTTGTAAAGGCGTTATGGCTTATGCAATATGCAATTGCAGGCACTTGGTATGCCTCACTTATCCCTTATTGGGGGCTCTGGCGGGCTCCTGAGGGCCCACGTCTATCTCCGGGAGCCCTTGACAGGCTCCTTTGGGTCCTTTCAGTCCACTATAGCATAAGAGGTCTCCATGCGAGTCCTATACATCTGAGGGCGTACCCTGACGTCTGAGGTACCCAACTGCAGCTCCAATGGTCTCTTACACTGGCGGATCCAGGGAGGGGGCATTTAGGGCCATGCCACCTTCCCAGAGGTCTAAAGTGGCCCGTTTGCCCCCTCCCACAAACGGTACCTAATGAAACATAGTTCAATCAGTGCGTGGCCTAGGAGCCGAGTTAGACAGGGGGTGTTTTACCACCTCCCGGCCCGCAAAGGGACCCAAGCACTGACTCGAAGCGGGTTAACTGGTCGACAAAAGCAATGGTAAGTGCTTACAAAGTAATACAAAGGCATGGGTCGGGTGGGCTACCATTTATATATTTTTCTTTCTAGTTAAAAAAAAAAATCATAGTGTCGGGGCTGTGACGAAAAATAAGTGGCCTAAATCCGATGAGAAAACAGGATTTGGGGGTACCCTAGGTTTGGCTCCAGCATGAGTTGGCCCCCCCCCAAAACGCAAGCCTGGATCCGCCAGTGTACACGCTTGCTATGGGAGTGACTATGTTTTCGCCATTCCATGCACAATGTTTCCGTCCCTGCTGGTATCGTGAAGAGACATGTCATAAATCCTTTCCCGAAAAAGAACCACCCTCAGTTTGTTTTTCAATAGGAAAACACCATTCTAAAGAATAGTGTTTGTCTAATGAAGAAACAACCTTCGGGTACCTACCATACAGCCTCTTCTAGTCAGAGCAACTCAATGCTGGCTCTAGATGTATTTCGCAGAGTTCAGCTAAGACGTGCGGTCTACACTATGTCACAGCAGTTGTTCCTGGTATTTTCCTGCAGTCTGTTTGCCAGGAACGTTAGCCTTCGCCGGCACGGGGGGTTGATGCACCCCCTAAGGTTTTGGCGTATAACTCGCGTAAAAAGCGGCCGATCGCGACGAAACTTTCAGTACCCTCGCGTAGATTAATTTGACACCTACTCTGAAAAGTTCATGACCCTGACCCAAATGACTTTTGACCTGTGACCTACTTTTCGAGACCATGTTTGGCCGGAATCGCGATTCGGCTTATATCGGCACGCATTAGCCGCGCGTTTGCAGTCTTTTCGTAGTTTCAAGCGTTCAAACATGTGATATGATGTTGCTCCCATGCATTAGGGTGGGTGTCAAGGTCACCTGAAGGTCAGATCAGGTCATCGACCTTTGATGACCTCGGTCCACTTTTTCGAGTTTTACATGTTTTAGGCTAGTTTTTTAGCTGAATTCGAATTTAGCAACCATTTGAACATTTACGAAGTACGTAGTATTGGTGCCTTCGACCTTCGTAACATGTTACAAAGCTGTCAGAGGTTGACACGTACAACAAATACCCGGCAGGACCCCACTGGTTGACCTGACCTGACCTGACCCGACCTGGCCTAAATGCACAAAGACATCATCTGTGATCAAAACTAACATGATATTCGTGATCAGCACCCCGAAAATCCCCATAGCAGCTACACCGACACTCTAACAGGTCCCGATTTTACCGATTTTGGGGTCATTGACCTGACCTGAAAGGTCAACCGATGACCTAGGACCTTAAAATTAGGTAGCATCGGCTTCCTCTCGTGACGGGCAACACGCTCGTTTCGATCAGGGGCCAAACGCGAGGGGGGGGGGGTCGTACCAACCCCTTGTGCCGTCGAAGGACGTGAAATGGCCTGTGCCGGCGAGGGTTATAGTTGATTTGCATTGCCTCGTCAGTGCGATAGTAATAAGATCGCAATAGATTTGCCGGCTAAATGTTATTTCCCTACCAGTCAATGGGACAAGAAAGTGTGTTCGCCCGTTGCCGATAACAGGTGTTCTCGTTACTACAAAAGTGTTAGGCACACGACGCTTTGATTAGTGAATTACACCGCGTACAGAGTACTGAGTACTGAGCAGGCTTCTGAAGGTGATATCATATATATTTAGCTCGATCCCAGCCTTTTTGCTTGGTTGACACCATCACATCAAGAACGTTGAAAGTGTGTACGCGAAATTATTATAGTTATTGCCGACGTTTGTCAATGGGCTGCCTGGCTGACAGTCATTCCATCATTATTCGGGGAGTTGTTGATCTGACTTGTATTTGTGTTATATTCCTTTTATGATTATGATTGCATCGTGTGTCTGCAATGAGTTGCAGCACTTAGAACTCCCATGCGTTTGCTTAGAATGCAATGCGACATGTGCCATCAGATTGGATCTATTGATAGTTCATTTAGTTCTAGAGTACACAAAGAAGAGAGTAAAGACCATTGTATTAGCAGACTCGAAGTCCAATAACATGGTTGGCTCATACATGAGCAAGGGTGACACGTCACTGATATAACAGCTGACAGTCCCAGATCCTTTTGTAGGGGGAATATGTATGTATACAAATTACAAATCACGGCCGACAATTCGAGCAATAAGTAGGTATATAAGTAAAGTAAAAGTAAAGAGTAAAGAGCATATAAGTAAAGATGACACCTCTTACAATTCTTAATTTGAATTTCGATAAGATATTTGCTGAATCTCGAAGTCGGTGGTGAGATGCTGCTTCGGTCCACTTGATTCAACCGCTAGCAGAAGCCAGGGCCGTTAGATGGCTCGGCCGCGAAGCCACGGTAGATGAGTCGGCATCTGAAAAAAAACACCACGAGACATGTATTGCTGATTGATATCGACAGAGCGAAAAGGCCTAGCAAACGGCGTGAGTTAATGTCCAGTACGATAACAGCGTAGCCCCGACAATTAGCAAAGTAGGCAAATAAAAGTTAGATGGCTGGGCGGGGCAAATTTGTTCGATAAGTCCCCCTCTCGGTTATCTCCCTCTCTTTCATCGCTCACCTCTGTTCTTCCAGACGAGCTGCTGCCTCGCTGTGCGAGTTGGCGCCCTTTGCCGACCAGAGGCGCTCGGCGGGTGCGGCGGCGCGGGGCCACGAGCGCGCCACCACGTTTGTGTCGTCCACGTACTCTCCCCACATACACGCCTCACCGCCAATGATGAGCTCGTTCTGCTGCGCGCTGCCGCCGAAACTCTCCGGCTCGCAGTCGTAGTACTTGTACCAGTCGATGCCGTAGCTGATTTTGTTCAGGTACCAGCAGGAAGAGAGCACCGTCCGGTGGCCGAGCGACGTCACCTTGTCCATCTCGGCCTGCCACTCGGGCTCCTTCCAGACGTGCACGATGGCGTCCTCTTTGATGGTGATCCCCTGGTCGACGACATCCTGCCAGACCATGTACTGGGGCTTCTCTGGTAGTCCGGCGACGACTTCCAGCAGGTTGGTGATGTACTCGGCCTCCACCTCTTGCGGCGTGGTGTAGTTGCGCTCCGCCATCCACGCCTGAACGCCCGGGTTCGAGAGCCAGCAGTCGTAGCCGAAGCTCACCTCGTCGCCGCCAATGTGCACGCTCCGGTCCGGGAAGCGCTGAGTCACCTCGTCCAGGAGGTCGGTGATCAGCGAGTAGATGCTGCTGTTGGTCGGGTCGAGCGGGCCGAACGTGCCGTCCGGCTCTCCGTCGGTATAGCAGCGCGTGAGGATGTCATAGCTGTTCCAGGAGCGTGTGTGGCCGGGGGTGTCCATCTCGGGGATGACGCGAATGCCGCGCTTACGTGCGTACTCAATGACATCAGCTACCTGGTCGGGACTGTATATCTTGTCTTCGCGGAACGCACCGAGAACGAAGAGAGGAAATCTGACGCTGTAGAAGGGGAACGACGGGTCGTCGACAAGATGCCAGTGGAAGACGTTGTATTTGTGGAAGGCCATGAGATCAAGGTTCTGCTTGATGACATCCAGGCTCAGGAAGTGGCGACCGGTATCGAGCAGGAAGCCGCGATAGCTGTAGCGCGGGAAGTCCACGATGCTGCCACTCCGGACGAACACAGCTCCGGAGGGATCGTAGTAGAACAGCTGCGACATGGTCTCGAGGCCACGGTACGCTCCCCAGATGGTGTCTGCTGCGATCACAGCTCGTCCCAGGGCGTCGCCGGTGTTGACAGTAAGCGAGTAGGACTCGTCCATGCCGTACTCGGGGTACTGGTCCTCGCTGCAGGCCGTCCGCAGCTCCACCTCGATCTGCTCCAGTAGGAGGGGCGGGTCGTCCCCTACGTGTGAGGCTCCAGACGCGTAGAGTCTGCTTGCTGTCACGCCGCGGAACTCGGCGATGAAGCTGGCGATGATGTTCGTGTAGCGGGACACGGCGTCCTCCAGGTCAGCGCAGGTCTCGCCGGTGATGTTGAAGGGCACGACATCGATGTCCACGCGGAAAAGGGCTGGGTCCCAAACCTGCTGCTGCGGCTTCGGCCATGGCTCGCCCAGCGTTGGGTTTACGTTTGGGAAGCCGCAGTTGGCGTGAGATAGGCACCACGTGGCCAGAACTGAAAGGGAAAATTGTGTGCTTAGGGTTGGTGGAGAAATCTCGCCACTGTTTTAAATGTGTTCGTGCCACTTGTTCTAATAGAATTTAAAAGACTTTCATGTTTGCTAAATTGAATGAAAAAATGGAAGGCATGTGTCAAAGTGGTCCATTTCATTAGGCATGCAATGGACCACTTAACCTCACCAGTAAATAGCAGGTAATGGTGAGTCATAACGCGAAACTATTGATTCTTGGTGGTGTTAATCTTGCTAGATGTTCGTCGAGCTCGCCGTTAGCCAGAACCACTGCGCCTCGAGGAGTGAAGCGAACTGGCAGGGACGTGGCCCGGTCCTCCACAGGGAGCGCTATCGGTCAGTGCCCCGCACCACCTGGCGTCGGGCCCCTCAGTTCCCACGTCCCGCCCATAACGGCGACAAAAGCTATAGAAAGATAACGTCTGACAAAAGCGATCCGAATGAGAGCAAATGTGAACACGCTTGGATAATGTTAAATTATTGGAGTTCATTTTTGAAAACGGTGTACACCTTAACCCGCGCCCCGTAGGGGGGGGGGGGGCCGAAACGGCCCCCCTGTCCGTTTTCGTCAATATCTCCTAAACGGCTGAGATATCGCCACTAAACTTTCAGGACCCTTCCGAGAATCAATTTTACACATTGTGACCAAAATTTTCAGAGGCAATGATAGGTTGGCCACAAACGACGTCAGAATGACGTCATGTTCTGCGATTTTCGACCGAAAAAGACCTTCGCGAGAAGAGCTGTCAGGCCTACAGCGTTGAAGATACAGAAAAATGATCAAATGTAAAAGGTGTAGAATTGACAGGGCTACAAAACTGCCATCACGGATTTTTAACGTTTTTGAGTTTTGACCCCCAAAAATCAAAAATGCCTTTTTTATATATATTAGCAAAAAAAATCCTTTTTTTTTAGTTTCGAAAATACCGGAATATATGTGATAGTACCTACCTTCTTCTACCTACATACCAAATTTCAGATTGATATCTCGTTTTTTGGCCAAGTTATAGCGAAAAAAAAACTTCAAAAATGATGACGCCAAACTTTCAAACTCAATTCTTGGCAATTCTAGACCACGTAGGGTAAAACAAAGACCACCATTAGACTCCCCGTGACAAGTTGCATCGACTCGATACCTACCCATTTTATGCAAAAATATCAACTTTGAAATTTGACCTAATTTGACCTGACCTTGACCTGGCCTTCACCAAAACGTGACCTAAGCTGGCCCCAAAGGCTGCTTGACCCACATAATCGCATTTGTCATGTAAAACGGACCATAAAACATGTATCACACGATACCTTCATATTGTGACCCCCAGTGACCTGACCTCTGTGACCTGACCTGGTATCAGTGACCTCAGATAGCAAAGTATGTGTTTTACGAACAATGTACCATCGGTGGTTTTCAATAACTTACCAATTTACTCGATTTCACAACACATTTCTTGAAATGCCTGTGAACGGTGAAAATCCGACATTTGACCTGGCCTGTAACGTCATCGGTTTGACCTAGGTTAATGAAATTTGGTCACAAGGTAGTTCCCCGTTGAGGTTATCGAACGCCGTTTGAATTTTGGAAATCGGCCGGTAAATTTCCGAGATCTTAGGGGGGGGGCCGAAACGCCCCCCCCCCCCTCCCCCCCTACGGGTGGTAGGGTCCGCCGGTAGCCCTACGGGGCGCGGGTTCATAAACTACGTTAAATCGTATCAGTTTACATGCATTACTTAGCAACCTCCATTTTAACCCGCGCACCGGAAGGCTATCGGAGGACCCTACCTACCGACCCTACCACCCGTAGGGGGGGGGGGGTGGTTCTGGGCTAGCTCAGCATTGGGGCCCGAGGGCCCCCAAAAGTAGGTATACAAATTGACACCAGTGGCCCAGACACCTTCACTATCGTGCTTATGTTTGGTAAGTAGTAAAAGAAATCAAACTACTTTCAGTATACGTGTGTACGCGCCGTTGAACAATAATGTCTAATTGAAAATGCACGTATTACCCTTGGTAGGTTTCATTTCGCGAGGATGAGGCCTTTTCCACAAAGCAATGAGTACCTACTCAGTGGCGGTGGAAGCAGGGGGGCAAGGGGGGCAGCTGCACCCTAAAGCTATGGAAAGGGGCGCCTCGAAAATCTGTAGAGGAGGCAGGAAGTTAAGAGGTGCGGCAGCCATAAAGCTGAGCAGTGCGAGGCGACACCGCAACTGATAAAGGCACTTGTGACACGAAGAGGGTGGCAATGACGTGGGAAAAGTATCTTTTGATATGCTGAAGAGTGGAGGGCATCCTTATCTGAAACAAAGGCAGATGCTGCCGACCCTGTCGAATATAATATTGCCAGGCGATAAAGGCTAGGAGGGCGCAGCTACTCGAGAAGCGCGCCATGCGGAAGAGGGGCGCCTGCATGCGAAAGAGCGGCGCCTGTGTGTGGGACGAAAAAGGAACATTTAAAAAAAAAGGAACATTTGAGTCTCTGCGCAGGCGCAGAGCTGAGCGGCAGGTCTGACGTGAGCTCCGCGTTTGATCGCTTATATATAGCAAATAATCGTTTATTTGTGGTCAGAACCTGACTAATTTTGTTGATTAAAGTGCGTTCTGATTGCTGATATTAAATTTATCACAAGATTTCGATTGTATGGCACATAAACTGCTTCATCTTTTATACGGTAAGATCAGCAAGATAAGGCTGAATGCGTCATATTTGCCCCGCCTCAGATATTCGACTGACTGAGAATCCTGAAAGTATTTTTTTTTTCAAAACGTGACGTTGTGAGCTAACGTTCCCTAATTTACGAAACCTGAATAAACTATGCATTCCTCCACCAAGAAACGCAAGGAAATTAACGGTATTGCGATGAAGAAGAAAACATCAACAAATTTGGAGCTACAGAAGAAAATGAAAATACTCCAAGATCAGCTAACCAGTCAAGGTGATATGATCGCAGCAATGAATGTCCAAATGGTGGAGCTGGTGTGCGAGTTAAAAGCACTGAAGGAAGACAAGCTCCTGTCCGCTGATCTTGCTTCAGAGCAGCTGGACACACATCAACTGTACAGCATCGTTAAGAGGATTGATCGGGACGTGAACGAGCTGAAAGACCGACATGTCAACTGTAAGAACCTCACCAAAACAGTTGATGAACTTGGGGCACTCTGCGCGGCTGCTATGGTAGCAGCTGGGACAAAACTACATCAGACGATAACCGAGCAACAGAGCGCAGCTGATTCCAACGCAGCTGAGCGGCCGGATATGCCTGTGCCAAAAAACACATCTGCAGGGAGAAACGATTCTGCAGTGAAGCCTCAAACAGCTATGACCACCGAAGAACGAGAAACTGCAAAGAATTCGCAAATGATGACAAGGGCCACCAAAGACGCCGCCACCGGTAAAAAGGCTCTACCGGGCAACAACGGAGATGACGACTCCGACTGGACTGTAGTGAAAGGGCGTGCACGGAGTCGGAAGGCCTTTCCAAGCGGAGCCATTCTCATTGGAGGCGAGAATGTACGCCGTATAAGTGCAGCAGCTAGAGAAGAATTCAACTTCGAAAAGAACGTTGTTTTCTCGTCTTCGCCTGACACTAGCAGCGCAGAGATGAGCCGGCAACTTATCTCCGCCGTAAGAAAAACCAACGCTGAAGCCGTGGATGTAGTCATCCACCTAGAAGGGAGCGACGTTGTCAATTCTGAGGTAGACTGCATACTAGAAGGACTCGCTCATACGATAACAACGGCAAAAGAGCGACACAACGTTCGCGATGTTATTGTTTGCTCGCTGCTGGAAAGACGCGACTTGGGTCTAGCTGCGAGCGAAAGACTCCGTCTCGCAAACGATGAACTACCATCTCTGTGTCAAACATATGGAGCGCGGTATCTGGATATGCGGGCACGCCTCAGCGAGTGTGCTCACAGAGGAATAAACAGAACCGGCTGTTTGTACACTTGGGAAGGGGCAAGAAACGTGTCTCAGGTGATCATCAGCGAGGTGAACGGTTTTTTAGATTAGACGGGGGAAATGAAAGCGAAAAGTTTGAAATCGGGACATCCAGTTCGGCCAATACACCGGCCCACCAGCACTTTGAGGCCCTGCAACAAGGACAGAGAATCGAGGACAGACGTCGTGAGAACCACAACGACGAGGAGCACAGCGCACAGATCCCTACCACTTTGACGGCAAATGGACTTCTTCTCGGGATACTTAATATCCAGTCAATCAAGCCCAAGCTGCTAGAGCTATCTGACGTCCTCGACTGCAATCAAATCGACCTGCTGTGTCTTTGTGAGACATGGCTACGACCGGCCACTCCGAATCGCCTGCTGGTCCTGCCGGGCTACAATCTGTACCGCGCCGACCGTCCTGATAACAGTGGGTATGGAGGGGTGGCACTGGTCGCCAGGGAAGGGTTGAATGTTAAGTTGGTAAAAATTTCCACCGAATCGGTTCCAAATAGTAAACTGGAGACACTATGGACAATTGTAAAGGCCAAGAGCAAACGGCAGCTAATCATTGCCATATTATACCGGCCTCCAAGGAAGCTTGTGGGGGATGTCGAGGCCGATTTTATGGATCTTGACAACCAGTATCAAAGCATACTAAGTGCTTATCCACTCACTAAAATTGTGCTTTGTGGTGATTTGAACTGTGATTTGCTAAAACCACGCTCTGACCACTGTAAAAGAAGTCTTCACGATTTTATCACAGACTACTGCCTAGTGCAATGTGTGACTGATGCGACGTATTCTACAGGATCATTGCTTGATGTTTTGATGACAAACTGCAGCCAGATGATTCAGCATTGTTACACTAGTTTTTGTCATTTTAGCCCTCATAAGATTGTTTTCGCCTGTATGCCTATCCCTCGTGTCCGCCAGCCTCGTCGTATCACTAGATCTCGCTGTCTTCGTCGCATCGACTTAGATGCATTTAAGCTTGACCTCACTCTAGCTGATTGGGATCAGGTATTTGCTGCACCAACAGTCAGTCTGAAATGGGAGTACTTTCTCCAGTTATTTTTATCTATTCTCGATGTACATGCTCCATTGAGAACATTCCGTATCCGAAATGTTGCAGCCCCGCCAGTAAGTGTGGAAACGAGAGAGCTCATGCGTTGCCGCCGTGCAGCACTCGCCACCGGCGGTCATACCTCATCTGAGTACAAAAATCTGAATCGCGCTGTACGATCGGCCATCAGACGCGACATCCGGCTAGACATTCAGCGGCGGATCAATGATGGAGGTCCAAATTCCACATGGCGAGCAATAAGGTCTGTTGTGGGCACAAAACAGGCTGATAGAAATTTACCTACAGCAACGGCTGATCAGCTGA